TAGATGATCATTTTAACTATTCTTACATATAATTTTTTTTATTGATAAAATATATTTTAAAAATAATTTTTTTCTTAAATCAGCAGAATCAGCCAATGCAGTCACTTCAATCAAAACTTCACAAATTTAAGCAAAATCAACTAAATCAGTCGATTTTTGTGCTACCAAACGTGCTTTCAATGCGAGGAATCCGAGGATCCACACACTACTCGTCATGTCGCTTGCTCACTATATTTTCTGAATTACTATATGTCTACATCCATGCTGAAATTAACTCTCTGGGGATTGATTTCACGAATTTTTAATTAGAAAAAAGTAAAAGCTAACTTTCCAAAATTACCCTGGCATGATAAGAGATGCAATGGTCCAAATACACTAAAGGTGGAAAATGAATAGCAAAAGTAGGGGCAAATGGGTATTTTCAAAAATAGGAATATAATAAAATAGGTAGTTAATATTGTCATATTGAGATATCCCACATAAAAAAGGAGTAAGTTAATTTTGAGACGGAGTATCTATTTACCATTCTGTCACCAAAACATGCATGCATCATCGACTTATCATGCTCCTTGTCCTATCAAAAATCGCAAATTATACCGTGGGATCGGCCCATCGTGAGCCGATCCCAAAACAACATCGCTTTTCTTGAAATAAATACAAAACGATGGATCTTCTGCTCTTTTCTTAAAAATCTGGCCTTGCAACTCTGGGTTGTCAATCACCGACTCCATAGAATCATAAAGTGGGCTGAAATTTGTCTTAAATCCAAACGCTCTGTAAGGACAGAACTTTAAGAGCTAAAATACTTACCAGGCCATCATCGCCTTTGGCTCATGATTATGAACAAGTGGCCTGGTTTCATCACTTGTGATCATGAACAAGCTAAGGAATGATCAGTTTTTAGTGGACATAATCTGGTTTTTACATAACAGCGGCTCTTCAATCTCTGCTCTTTCAAGTCTCAACCCCTCACGCATAACCTTTTTGCTTTGATTTACCATCTAAGCTGCGTATTAATCAAATTCAATTAATATAATTTTGTCGGTTCTCTTGATGTTAATGATGGAGTTAATTGGTATATATAGGTATATACATGTGTGTGTTTTTAATACACGGAGTTACATCTTTTTATACTCCATTTACATCTTAATGTGCGCGAGTTACATCTTCTAATGAGTGAGTTACATTTGGACATGTTTCAAATAAGTTACATTTCATATTAACATGAGTTACATCACAAAATAAACCCCTTTTATGAAAACAAAAAAAAAACTTTTTGGGATCAATTTTTTTTGCGAAAAAAGGATTTCTCTAAAACATTTTATGGTCTTAATATTAAAAACAAAACATATTCATTATTTAGGAAAAGTAATTAAGCAATTAGTTACATTTGTTACATGAGTTACATTTCAGGACACAAGTTACATTTGTTGTTAACTGAAGTTACATTTGTAACAATGCGAGTTACATCTATTTTTGCACAAGTTACATCATTCATGCTACTCAGATGAAAATAAAAAAACAGTTACTATACATGTGTGTACTGTTCACACATTTTTTTTAAAAAATAATTGTGCGAAACTACGTCGTTTTGGGTATGGGGGCACGGTGCTCACCGTGTGGTGATACCACGGTATAGGAACTGATCAAAAATATATGTATAAACTTGACATAGGTGTAAAATAAGTATTACCTAGTATTAGTTTATTTATCAAGTAAAATACGGAGTATAACCTACGGAAGTATGGAGTAGTGAAATGTGGAATACAACCTCGTTTAAATTTGAAAACAGTTCAAGTCACTTACTCACTTTGAAAGCATTTAATTTATTGTGTACTCCAAAACACGGAGGGGAGTAATGGGGAAACACGGCCTAGTTATGGCTATGCACTTATGCCGGTATGGATGGATTACGCGTTTAGGAGCGTCAAATTTCAATTCAGCCACACGCACTTGTCCTTCAAACCTAATTCCACCCCACGCACTTCATGGCAGTGTTTGGTAATGATGTTTCACCCAAAAATCTATGATTTGATCACTTTTAATGTTTTTTAACAAGTAAAAAGGTTGTTTAGTAAATAGGGATTTGACACTAGCCTTTTCAACATTTGTCACATTTTTAGTAATGTAAGGATATATTTGAAACAAACGGTTAAAAAAAATTATTTTTATGAGCCTTTTAGTAATCGTGAACTTTTACTTATGGGTGGACCGGTTCCGGTTCGGGCCTGGGCCCGGCCGGGCCTCGGTTCAGAAATGGGAGGCCCGGAACCGGCCCGGGTAATCCCGGGGGCCGGGCCGGGCCGGGCCTCGGTTCAATTTTTTTTTTTTTGGCTTTTCCTAATTAACCCCCAACCCTCCCCCTCACCCCCAAACCACCCCAAACCACCTCAAATGGCCCAAAATACCAAGCCCAACCCAAAAACTTAAAAAAAAATCAAAAAAAAAAATTAATTTGGCCCGAACCGGCCGGCCGGGCCGGTTCGCCAATCAAAGGGCTCGGGCCCGAACCGCACAGTAACCGGGCCGGGCCGACCCGAAGCGCTCCCTGGGCCAGTTCGCCAATCAAACGGCCCGGGCCCGAACCGCACAGTAACCGGGTCGGGCCGACCCGAACCGCCCCCCGGGCCGGGCCGGTTCAAACAGTAACCGGGCCGGGCCGGGCCGGTTCCGGGCCGCCCGGCCCGAGTCCATCCCTACTTTTACTAACCAAAAAGATTTTAAAAGTAAAAAGTTATATGTAGTTGTTTAATAACAAATTGACTATCTGATTTCTATTAGATATAACAAGTTGTTTGACTAATAATGTTAGAAGATGTACACTTTTTTCAGAATCTACTCGGTGCAGCATTTCAAAAAAATCTTTTAATTTGTAAAAAAAGATCTTAATTATTCACATCTCAAACATGCAACTAGAAGTTATAGGGTCTTTTCAAATAGTACAAAAGCTTTAAAGTATAAACTTATGTCTATCAAACATGGACTAAGAATTATTTATTCATCTTCAAAAACCCTTTTACATTAATAATAGAAATAATTACATAAATATGACCAAAATAAAGATGATTTACAAAAAATATGATTAGTTACTAGAGTAGTAATGAAATCATAGTAATTCATGTTCAACTTTAGTTACTACAACACTATGTTGTAGTAATGAATAGTCATATTTATGTAAATAGCTTTTATTTTAGTAATATTCTTATAAAAAACCCTTAATAATATCTCCTGCACATAATATGCTAATGCTATTGTATTGACATCTTCAGTTTGGTAATATCTCCTGCACATATTTAGAAAGTGAATCAACTAGTGCAATGAAGAAAGCACATTCGGACTATATAATATTCCACTTTTGGTTCAATGAGTTTGATGTCATTTCCACATTTAGTCCACATCTTTCACTTTGTTCATTTTTAATACTTGACTAATGTTTTTTGACTATTTGTTACCTTTCTCCAGATATCTTAACCACCAGAATTATTGCCGGAAGCATCATGTATTGGCGAAAACACAATAGTCGTGCACTAAAAAGGGTCAAAGTCTAAGACATGGACCAATTGTGAAATCGGTGTGATACCCGTAGGACCAAAAGTGGAATTTATTCCTAAACTTTCTAATTCACACCTTTTTGGATGAATCACATTTCGTTGGTCACTTTGACTCTTTGAGAGATGCATGTTCAAATGGTAAGGTTTATTTGAAGAAACGCAAAAAAGAAGTGCACAATTTTTTAAAGCAAATAGAAAACACATGAAATCATGGTTTGATACTTTGCTTATTCAGTTCTAAACTTGTGGCATTGATTCAAAGTGTTGTCATTGCCATTTTGCTTTTCCCATTAAGGCAAATAACGAGGGACAGGGATGGACTGGGCCGGGCCGAACCGGCCCGGAACCGGACCGGCCCGCTACTGTGCGGGCCCGGACCGGACCGGGCCCGGTTGGCCGGTTCCGGGCTTTTAGCCCGTTTTGGCGGGTCGGGCGGGCCGGTTCCGGGCCTTGTTTTTGTTGAACCGGCCCGGGCGGTTCGGGCCGGGCCCGGTTCATTTTTTTTTTTTTTTGTTTTTTTCAATTTTTTTTCTTTTCCTAGGGTAGGGCTGGGTGTTTTAGGGAGGTTTGGGGCGTGGGGGTGAGGGGGGGGGGGTAGGGAGATAACAAGAAAGTCAAAAAAAAAAAAAAAAAAAAAAAACATTGAACCGGGCCCGGCCCGGCCCGGCCCGGTTAGGCCCGGACCCGGTATCAACCCGGGCCGGTTCCGGGCCCATGTAACCCGAAAAAAAGCCCGCCCGGGCCCGGCCCGGAACCGGAACCGGCCCGGCCCGGGTCCATCCCTAGGGACCAATGTGTTCTAATTTGGCTCGAGAATCCACCAAGGAAGCAAATAAGGCTTCCATCTATCAATGTCACATAACGAAGCATTATCCATGTCCAATTGTCGATTGGAATTGTATTTGAAGTTAGAAAAAACTCCTGTGTCCTACGCAACCTAAACAAATTATAGGTTTGATAAAAAAAACTAGGATCATACCTAGTTCCAGTTAGGGGTGGACCGGGACCGATCAGACCAGCCTGGACCGCCACTATGTGGTACCAGACCGGCCCGGTTGACCGGTACCAGGCCTAGGACCCAACCCGGGGGTGTTTTGGGGGCGGGCTCGGGCTGCAGCCCTCTTGGAACCAGCCTGGCTGGTCCAGGACCAGTCCGGGCCCAAAATTTTTTTTATTTTTTTATTTTTCGAATGGTTTGGGTAAGAGGCGGGTTGAGTTGGGTACTTGGGTGGTTTGGGGGTGTTTGGGGGTGGGGGGTTAGAATTAGTAAGCAAAAATAAAACTAAAAAATATAGTACCCGACCCAGGACCAGCCCGGTCCCGGAACATAGCCAGGCCCGACCCAGGACCGGCCATTTCTTAAACCCAGTCCCGCCCTTAGCCCGACCCGGACCCGGTCCCGACCCAAGACCGGTCCATCCCTAGTTCCAGAACCAAAGCAAAACTGGGCGGGTAAAATACATGTGTCCGTTTTTTTGTCCGGACCAGAATCAGTCCAATGTGGTTACAATTCTTCCAAAATACAAACAGAAAACGAATACTTTTTTGGAAGATAGTCTACAAGCCCGGAAACAAACTGGTACCAGCTCGGACCAACCCCTTGTCAAAAGCTGGTTTGGAACACCAAAATCCACAAAAACGATTAACAAAATATTCTATAATTAATCCATCACGAATTGCATTTATGACACCTTTATAGGCTTATAGCTGCTGCTAAAGAGGAAAAAAATGAAATGAGGTAAACAATCGCTATCCAAATAGCCTTCAAAATCGATTTGAGTAACATAAAAATCAACCTCCCAAAAGCCTTACTTTCTGAGTGAGGACTTGCTCAGTTTGTTTGATTTGGTCAGGGTACCATTAAATCGACCACTACCCAATAACTGAAAACAAATCCACCTTGTCAAGGATCAATAGAAAGCCAAGATGGTTGTTACGGCTAATCCATGTTCAGCAACGTCCATAAAAGCCACCAATATTAAGGCACAATCATAACTGTTCTCTTCCGCCACTCAAATTTTATAGGTAATCAAAACATCAGCTGATGATCATCTTGTTCAGAAACTGCGCTTGTTCTGGAAAGTACTCTAGCAACTCATCCTTTGTCACCCACACATAATCATCACACTTGTGAACATCAAACTTGTTAGCCGCGATCACTTGCGATTTGAAAAAGTAGCGCTGCCAGTGTGAATAGGAAAAAATAAGAAAACTTGGGATGACTTTATGGCAAAGAAGTGCTACAGAAAATATTACAGTAGTGCAGAAAAAAACAAGTTCGGTGAACTAAGAGCACTGAACATTCCATATTTCCATTAACATTTGTTACTCCTTCAAACTCACAATAGTGCTGGGGCTGTTTTGGAACAAATAATTCCACCACTATATTGCGAGCAATTAGGTTCACTAACCTTTAGACATGGTTGTACTGGCTCATTATCATTCTCACCAAGCTGTGTAACCATATGTCCCATTGGAGCATTGCCGACAAAATAAGTGTGAGAGAGGTCTCCAATCACAGATTTTAATGCTGACTCCGCACACTGGAAACATACCACAAAATATTTCATATGTTTTCCTATTGTAGAATTCCATGTCTAGATTGAGTATTAAATGCATTATTGAAGTAATAATTAATAATTAATACCCTGCGGAGAGTCTCTTCTGATTCATATGCTTTTTCTGGGAAATGCCAAACAGGCTTCCCACTAGAAAGTGTCTTCCCGTGCAGGAGAAGATAGAGCCTTCTGTCAAGTGCTCTGTTCAACGACCTAAAGTATATCGTTGATCAACTATAAGGAAATACAAATATGCTACAGTACATAAATACAACAAATTCATACTACCTCCGTCCCACTAACATTGAGACATGAGGAGTTGGTACGGTTATTAAGAAAAATAGGTTTGTGTGGTTGATATTGAATTGATAAAGTAAGAATAAAGTAAGAATGATTTGGAACCACACAAATTTTACCAAATTTAGTATGGGACAATCTTAGTGGAACGGACCAAAAAGGAAAGATGAGACAATCTTAGCGGGATGGAGGGAGTAATACTGAAAATTACTGTTCACATTGCTCACATCGAAATTATCCCTTTAGGCTTTCAACAAATTATTCAGCAGCTGAGCTATTTTAGATAGAATAGTAAGAGTGCGGGAGAGCTGAAAAATTAGATTCTCTTTTCTATTGATTGATCAATGATCACAATCAAAATGAATTTTCCTTTGGTTATAGTATACTGTTTATTGGTTTTGAAATATTAACTTTGATTTAACAAACAACAACATTACCAAAGGGTACTTTGGTTTGGATGCAGCAAAAAAATGCCTTAGGGTACAATAGGTTGAAAACAACTGAAAGAATAATATAATCTGCTGAAGATAGTAATAAGCTAAAAAATCAGATTCAAGAAACCACATAGTTTTTTCAACTAAAATAAAATGCACCTTATCCCTAAGCCCTACCAGAATACTTACTTTTTGTCATTACTTTTATCAGCCTCAGTGATCCGAGGAGCTGGTGTATAGTCAATATGGTATTCGCCTTTTCCTCTGGGACAAAGCATTAATCCAATCATTCATATTCTTCATACAGTTTAATGGAAATTCAATTTGCGAAAAAAAACATCCAACACTTAGCAGCACACTAGAACATATATAATTCCTCCTGTTAACAATAAATGTTGTTTTGGAGGAAAAACTTTAGTCGCACACAATATGCATTATTTTATAAAAAACCAAGACTGTTCTAAATACTACTACCTTCGTCCCGTTGGAAGGTTCCCATAGCAAAACGACACGTTTATTTAGACAATAATTAAATAAAGTACTTTGAGCATATTTTGAGAAAAAAATTTAATATGTATACATTATAATGTACTCCCTCCGTCCCGCTAAGATTGTCCCATTTTACCTTTTCGGGAAGTCCCACTAAGATTGTCCCATACCATATTTGGTAAAGATTGTGTGGTTCTAAATCATTCTAACTTTATTCTTACTTTATCAATTTAATATCAACCACACAAACCTACTTTTCTTAATGATCATGCCACCTTTTCTCGTCCCAATCTTAGTGGGACGGAGGTAGTAGTTAGTATTGATAACTGTGATGTTATAAATGTATTATTTTTAATATTTCATGATTAATTTGTCACTTAGGATTGTTAATTGTTTCCTAAAATGGAAATGGGAACCTTTATATGGGACGTCCAAAAAATGAAAGTGGGAACCTTCTAATGGGACGGAGGGAGTACATATTTTTTCATTTTTAAGCTTCTATGCAAAATTTCAATTCAAGCCTTCAAGGATAACTAAATGTAAGCTGCAGTATTGTAATCCCAATGATAATCCATTTAATAACTCCTTAATCTGTGTCAAATCTTCTAAAATGACATTCATTTGAACAAGAGGGAGTAATACTAAAAAAGGAAATAAAATGGTGAAATAAATATGACTGATGCATTAAAAAGAAAGGAATGTCAATAATAGCAAGAGAATTTATTTTCACTAGTTCTTAAAGCCTGAAACTCCTAGCAACAATGCATCCATAAGACCACTAGGCACAGTAACACAAATATAATCCATAGAGTAGATGAAAAACAACTTCATCTAATGAAACAAAAGTACCTGGACTCGGCCCTTTTCAATAATTTCTCAGGATACTCTCTTCTATATTGTTGCCTCCATCGGAACCTAAAATGCAATTAGACAAGGATTACCTAAAAAATCATACCCACTTATCCCCTAAGCATGCCCAGTAAAGCATTCTTCCGTGTTATCTTTATCAAGGAAGAATAAGAGATTAAAGACATAAGAATGCCTAGAATTTTATTCCACCAAGTTCTTTTTTCACTACAGTTTATAAAAAATAATACTCTCTCCATCCTTTAAGTCGCTGCCAACTTTAACTTTCTTGGTCATTGGTGGTAAAATCTGGCCTATGATTCTGATTTTTTTGAAGTAAAAGTTTTGTACTTTTGAGAGAGTACATTTAAGTTTTAACAAAGATCATTTTCATATTATAAATAATTTTGTATACAACTATATCATTGATCAAAGTTTAACATCATTGACCAAGAAAACCAGCGATGATGAAGTTCCAAGGGATGGAGGGAATCAGGAATACAGAGTAATTGAATATATAATATTCAAACATTCATTCTCATATAGTGAATTAAGAATGGAAATGATGGTGTGAAAGAATCTCACGAAAACTCTTGAAAAGCGTAAACAATGGGATCGATCTTGGGAACCACAACTGGAAGCCTCTCAAAGAGGACAGATGCTACAACTTTATCACCACCAGAAGATGTACTGAATGGCCGTTTTGTTAACAAAGGTAGGACAGAATACCTCCGCATTTCGGCAATCTATGAAATGCCAAAATAATGGAAATGAAAACTTGTATCCATTAAAAATGCAAAGTTCACCTGACTTGAATTTTTTACATGAGTGCTTGTAGAGATGTATCCATTAGTATATAAAAGCAGAAGACATTTTCCATTAGTGTTCCCACCTAATGAGCTCTGTGGGGAAAATACACTTTATGGTGGAGAAAAAACTCCACTGAAAATGTGAAAAATAATGTAAAACAAAAAGGCCTATTCTGTGTGATATCAGGCATCTACTTTTTGAGCCATGCGCTAAGCTATGATATCAGATCACCATAAATGAAAAGGCACAAACACAGTAAACTCCCCAACAAATAGTAGCAATGTGTTGCCAAATGAGCACAATTGAGGATATCTTCTACTCAGTTCTTAATTAAGAAAATAAATTTATTGAGGAGTAAATTTGACTGTAGAGTAGACTGTTTTGATACTGTTTGACACTGTTTGGCATTGTTTTGACACTGCTTTAGTGTGGATTTGTTTGATAAATAAGGAAGTAGAACCTTGTTTGAGACATTCAAACGAAAGTAGGAACTTAATTAAAAACCGGAGAGAGTTTTTTTTTATAGTAGTAAAAGGATATCTTCTGGTAAAAAAAAAGTTCAGATTCACATTATGTGTGGTTGATTCTTTTAAGCAACAAAGTTTAACAAATATCACAAATAAATTCAAAGAGTTTTTACAAAGATCTTAACAAATATTCTTTGTTTATAAAATTGTATCCCATGAATAAATCTAAAATAGTCCACGAATATTATAGGGAGTAAAATTGTTAAAGTTTATACCCCATGAATTGATGAATATCACAAATATTATGTGCAATGCGCAGCTGATTCATCATTGTTGTATTCTGTCCTACCTTTGTTTTGCTAACAAAGGTAGGACAGAATACCTCCGCATTTCGGCAATCTATGAAATGCCAAAATAATGGAAATGAAAACTTGTATCCGTTAAAAAATGCAAAGTTCACCTGACTTGAATTTTTTACATGAGTGCTTGTAGAGATGTATCCATTAGTATATAAAAGCAGAAGACATTTTCCATTAGTGTTCCCACCTAATGAGCTCTGTGGGGAAAATACACTTTATGGTGGAGAAAAAACTCCACTGAAAATGTGAATAATAATGTAAAACAAAAAGGCCTATTCTGTGTGATATCAGGCATCTACTTTTTGAGCCATGCGCTAAGCTATGATATCAGATCACCATAAATGCAAAGGCACAAACACATAGTAAACTCCCCAACAAATAGTAGCAATGTGTTGCCAAATGAGCACAATTGAGGAACCCTTACAATTTAAAAGTCTTACTAAACAACACAAAAAGCAAAAACACTTCAAAACAATTACTCTAAAGAAGTCCAAACGATACACACATCGCTTATATGAATAACTTCAAAAGTTTCGAAAAATACAAAATCTAGAATAGAATAAAAAATGTTATACTACGTATTTTTAGCCAGAAAATACATGGGGAATGAAATCGTGCAATCATTTTCATTTCCATTTACCCCAGTGCCGCAAAGGCTCCCACCTACGGTGGGGTAAAGGGGGGTCGGATGTACGCAGTCTTACCCATGTACTAAAGTACTAAAGCACAGAGAGACTGTTTCCGGATGACCCATAGTGAAAATCGTGTCCAAAATTGCATGGACTGACTGCTGCTTCATAACAAAGAAGCGCAGACAGTTTAGTGAGCCATTTTGCTTTATTCCATCATATTCTCAAGCCAAAAAATAATGAATCTTTGGCTCCATTGCAAATGATGGAAAAAATCCACTTCGGTTTTTATTATAACCCCGAAATTAGAAACGGAAAAAAGGGTGGGCAAGAGGTTATTGGTGCAAAAAAAGTGAGTGCTAGTAATTACTTTTTTGAGCTAGAATCAAGGTTTAAGTGGTTATGCAGATGAATCTGACATCGAACGGCGTATATCAGGGAGCTCTTATATTCACCTTCCCTCCGAGTGCCAAAGCAGGGGGGTAAGATAAGCGGAGGAGCTACTGTGTGGATTTACTGATTTGGATACATTTATTTAATACAGATGTTTTTAAGCCAAATACTGATCCGGCATTCTGGGATGAAGGTAAGAAATTGAGATATGTATCTTTAAAAAAAGGTTTAGATCCATTTTCAAGACCCACGGGTAACCAAACTTGAAACCATTCAGATCAATATGGTTCGAATTTGGATCTGAGTCTAAAGAGCGAAAGATTTTAAATTTTAATTGAGACATTGCATAAATAAATGAAACTTTACGAGTTATAAAAGTATAAATGTTCACGATACAACACTGAGTTGTTACAATTTTAAAGCAATATACGGAGTGTATTCAATATTAGAATATTAATGCAATCTAAACAAGAAAACCATTTCAATGGAGAACTAATAAGTATAATAGATAGCACAACTTTTATTAACCACACAGTATAATAAATATCTTTGTTCTTATTCTTCTTATTATATATACATATCTATTGAATCTAAGTATTTATAGCACAACTTTTGAAGATAACAATTTCAGATCTAAACTACTATACTTTTATACGTATAAACTTATTTAGGGGGTGTTTGGAACTGATTCTGCTTCTGCTTCTATTTTTAAGTGAGAATCAGAATTAGAATTTTCAGCTGTATGAAAAAGTGATTCTGTCTGAAGTGTTTGGTATTGATTCTGCTCTATGTAATAGAGAATCAGTTTTGAGTGTTTGGATAAGCTACTTTTGCAAACTGATTTTTGTGTAAATTTACCAAAAGGACACTATTGCTGCTGTGAAAATTCCATACCCTTATGGAATTGAATGTCATTCCCAGTTTTGATAGGCTTAAGTGAAAATCATATGCTTATTAGTTATTACTAAACCAAAGAAATTATTTGCAAAAAAAAAGATGAAAGACCAACACAATAATTCGAATTGAGAGTATACCTTGAAATTATTACTAAATCAGTTAAGGTCTTTGTATAATTGTATTGGACTTGAGAAAATCAACGAACTCACAAGTTGAGAGTATACCTTGAAATTGAAGCCGAGAGATGAAGGTTGGAGAAACCGTCGCTGGAGAAGCCAAGCCCCAACCCAAAGGGTTGCGTCGCCTGGAGACAATTATCGGAGAAGCTCTCGCAGGAGAACCCCAAGCGCCGGCCGGGTTTGTCGCACAGAGCCACAGAGACGATGGAGAAGAGAAGCTCTGGAGGGTAGACAATGCCTAAAGGGTTTGTCGCTGATTTGGGCTTAGCGAGAGTTACGAAGGATATTTTAGGAATAGAATTTGGTAGAATCAGAAGCTGCTAAGAGTTACGAAGGATATTTTAGGAATAGAATTTGGTAGAATCAGAAGTTGATTTTCAGAAGCTGGTAGTACCCAGCTTCTACCAAACTGATTCTACACCTATTTTAACAGAAGTTTTTTAATCAGATCCAAACACCTTCCAAAGTGATTCTGCTTCAAAGTGCTCCTTGGGTCAGTAGAATCAGCTTCTAAAATCAGATCCAAACACCCTCTTATTTACAATGGAACCAGGGGCGGATCCAGAAAGTAACAATGGGGTGGGCTGAGAAACAAAACTTGAAGAAAATACAAAATAATACGTCAAGTCATCAACACTTTAAATATTCATTAAAAACGTAAATTACTCCGTATAAAACTTCTATGAAATTATAAATCTAACAAGAAAAAACAATCGTTGTATACATACCTGTACAAGAAAATTTTGTGGATGTACAACTAATAAGAAAAAAAATGTTATATTATGTCATTATGTACACGAAAAACATGTAAATCCTTGTATAAAAACTTCTACAAAACAGCTTCAATATTGGTATGAATACTTCTTTAAAATTATAAAACTAATATGAATAAAACAATCATTGTACATAAAACTAATAAGTATTCCCAATTTCAAAATTCAATTGAAAATTTTAATTCTTTCTTAGATGTCCACACAATAAATAAATAAATAAATAAATAATTCTCTAATCTTCAATTGTATAATAAATAAATCATTCTCTAATCTCTAATTCTAACTTAAATCATTATAAATGTGAAATGAATAAAAACTATGAACTATTTAATTACGTACTGAAAAAATTAAATAATAATTAAACATATTTACATAACTAAAAATAATACGGAGTAATACACACAGTCACAAAATAATAAATTAAAAGTCTAAAAGAGTAATATTTAATAATACCTTCTCACCTGGAGCTGGAGGCAGAACCGCAGGTCACAGGCGCGGATTCGGAGAGTAGAGCCGCAGGTCGGCTGGTGCCGGGTGTTCGTGTCTTCGTCGCAGCTCACAAATTCGTCTCTTGGACCTCTTTCTTCACTGCTTCCATTTCATCGCAAATTGCAGGCAGCTCGCAAAGGGGTGGTGGGATGGGCTTGAGGTGGGCTGAGCTAGGATTGGTTAGGTATTAATTTTGGGTGGGCTGCTAATTAAACATATACCTAACTAATAAAAAGAATTGGACTGGGCTGAAGCCAACCCCTGAATAGATCCAAAAAGTTACGATGGAGTGGACTATGAATGATGAAATAGAATTACACACTGTCATACTTCACATAGTATATTCGTATATACGAAGTATATATTACTCCGTATATAACAATAATTTAAATATGGAATTTTATCAAATCAAGACCGGAAACATACACCAATTATCAATTTCGGACCTAAAAGATGAAATGTATCGATATAGTACCTGAATGATGGAAAACTATCAATATAGAACCTGAATGATTGAAAAATGTCTATATAAGACCTAACTTTTCATAAACTTTATTAATTTTTTATTTAAAAAAATCAAAATTATTTAATTTTATTAAACTAATAAACTTCTGTGAAGAAAAAATCATCAAATATTAGCAATGGAATTAATAAAAATTTAAATAAATCAAAACCTATGAAATGTTAGGTCTTAGATTGATAGTTTTTCATCATTCGAGTCCTAAACCGATACATTTCATCTTACAGGTCCCGGATTGATAATTCGTGTATCTTTCGGATCTCGGATTGATAAAATTCCTTTATCCTTTAAATAATCATCATCATTGAAGTTGTGTCTGAACCCCTAATTTCCTAGCAATAGGTTGATAATCCATTTTAAAATATATACAATTTAATTATTTCTAAAAAATGAATAATATATATACATCATAATGAAATACTATTAATTACTGTAGTGCATATTAACATTTCAATCTAAAATTTAGGAATTCAGTTTAAATATATAATTCTTTTCTTATATGCCCAAACAACATGCAAATCATCCTCCAGTCTATAAATGTTTTATAAAATACATAAAAATAAGGAAAGTAAAGATAGATCGTGGGTGGTGATTCAACTATGTTTAATTGAACTAATTTAAGTGTTTTCTGTATCATAAAGGTCTTGAAATATTATAATTGTACATGTTAGTTTAGATAGAAAAGGATTTTCTTAAAGATTAGGTCATTTAAAGTTATCCGCCCCTACTCCCTAGGCTTTCAAACATACGCGACCGGTCATCGCGCAACTAGTTCTGAAGAAGCGTTGTATTAGATGGTCCCCTTTTATCAGTTAATTTGCGGCCATGCTTTGAAGCCATAGTCCATTCACAAATCTTGATGGAGTTTGAAGGATAGCTCTAGCTTCTCTCTAAAAATCTAGCGGTCGTTTCTCCTCTTTGTAGGGGTTGAGATTTTCCGCCGCCCATATCAATATGGGATTGGAGCGACATATTATTCTGATTTTAAGTGTTCTAACGCTTGGGATTGCAACTACATCGAGGGAGATAACGTTGGAGGATGAACGGATTGCGGCTGAGAGTTTGTATCGGTGCTAGATCGTGAAACCTTGGTCGGCCGCTCCGGCGGTGGTGGAGTTGGTATTCACCCATATATCAAGAATTTGTCCTCCTCCAGAACCACCTCCATACGAGGAATAGTTTAATGAAAAAATTTTATTTCAATATTATTTTCTCTTTAGTAGTATTTGTTTTTGTTTTCGTCCAAGTAGATTTGGTTTGAATGTTTGGATTTTTGGAGCTCCTTTGATAGGCAGAGTTTCAGATATGTTTGTTTTAGGCTTAAATTTGCCCGTTTAAGGTTTAGCGAGTCAGGTTGTTTTGTATGAGGTGACTGATTCTATGTCTACTCCTAGGCTTTACGATTGGATCTGTAAAATTTGTCGGAAGATTGTCTTGTATGCGTTCTTGATTTTAATATAAAGCCGCCTGTTTTACTATTAAAAAACATAGTAGTTATGTTTAAAAGTAAAATCAAGCTTTTATTATTGTTATTTTTTTTAAAAGTCATGGACTTAGTATAGTTAATACAGCAATGATGAATCAGCTGCGCATTGCACATAATATTTGTGATATTCATCAATTCATGGGGTATAAACTTTAACAATTTTACTCCCTATAATATTCGTGGGCTATTTTAGATTTATTCATGGGATACAATTTTATAAACAAAGAATATTTGTTAAGATCTTTGTAAAAACTCTTTGAATTTATTTGTGATATTTATTAAACTTTGTTGCTTAAAAGAATCAACCACACATAATGTGAATCTGAACTTTTTTTTACAAGAAGATATCCTTTTACTACTTTAAAAAATACTCTCTCCGGTTTTTAATTAAGTTCCTACTTTCGTTTGAATGTCTCAAACAAGTTTCTACTTCCTTATTTATCAAACAAATCCACACTAAAGCAGTGTCAAAGCAATGCCAAACAGTGTCAAACAGTATCAAAACAATCTACTCTACAGTCAAATTTACTCCTCAATAAATTTATTTTCTTAATTAAAAACCGAGTAGAAGATATCCTTTTACTATTGAAAATGATGTCATTATCAAGCCCTATCAACTGAAAATTGTAGAGTTATTGTGACGTGGTATTTATATTTGATTTTGTTATTAAAAAAACTCCTATTTTTGAAGAATAAGATTTTATGTTTTACTCCATATTTTTTTTTAATGCATATTAGGTTAGAAGTACGATTATACAAGTAGAGCACTGAATCCGAGTATATTATACCACATATTGCAGATAGTGAGAAAGTTAGAGTGAGGGAGAAAGAGAGCTGGGGTGCATGTGAATGGCGGAATTCGTTGGGGCTGACAATTCAGAAGCTATAATCACAAGAATTGAGCATAAGTCTCGGAAGATTGAAAGCTTACTCAAACAGTAACTTTAGATTTTTCAACCCTTTTCCTTTTTTTTCCTCATTTGCATACACAAAGGAAAAGGCTCTGATTATCTAAAACATCTGTATTTTTGTTAGGTATAAACCCGTGGAAGCTCTGAAAACTGCTCTTGAAGGCTCACCTCCCATGACTAAAGATGAAAGATGCAAGGTTGAATCTTTTATTACTTTTTTGTCCCTGTCTTCTGAGAATTCAACAAAAAACTGATATGTATTGAGTTTGTATATCTTCCATTATATTTTCACTAATTTTGAGAGGATCATATTTGTAGTCTGCAAATTGGATTGTAGTCCATAGGGCAATCGTGGCTATAAAGGATTTGGATAGCTTGTTCTCTTCTCTATATCCTGAGTACTATGATATTCTTATGAAGTAAGTATTCCTTTTATTTCTATTCTTTTATGTATGCTATGTTATCTGCCCAATGACATTCTTGAAGTGTGCACACAACATTGCTGTTACACACCTGATCTAGTGATCTAGGAAAGTGATATATAGCTTGGCACTTCCCCTGTGTTCGGTTGTAAGACTTTCGGGAGAAGGTGAGGAAAGTAGAGGAGCTTAACTCTTTTATTGTAGGACTCCTCCAAACTCCTCACATTTGCCTCCAATTTTGGGTATTTCGTAGTAATTAAAATTTTCATAACTACCTTTCCAATTTATGTTTTTAAAATTATTGTACATTAGTTCTGCTAAGATATAAAATATGTTTTTAATAACAAAAAAACTATATCGAACATAATACACGATATTATATGTAAACTTTTCTAAAATAAAAGTTCCCATCACACTTCCTTTGCACCAAGGATCCAAGGATTACATCTTTTTAAACTCTTTTTGTTTTCCTTTCTTTCCCTTTTTTGAACAAAAAAAAAGGCTAAGACGACTCTAAATGTGGGGAGAACAACTAGGACAGCATAAGAATGATCAGTTTATAGAGGCTTGTACATGGCAGTTTGGTACATTTTCAAAGTGCAGAAGTGGCATATTGTGTTATTGCTAAGTTAGTTCCTCCAGGAAAGAGCTATTGTAGCACAATTTAACCAAGTAAGAAATAAACAAAATGAAATGAGAAGATTTTGAATGTCATGATAAATCAAACATAAAGGATTTGAATGTCAAAACAAATTGAAACCTACATTAGAGAGGACTTTAATCAATATTTGTATGTGCCCATAACATCTGAACATCACGATGCATATTTTGGTAAGCCTACAATTGGGAAGTATGAAAGAAATGTATCCATGAGTGATAGGAGAGTTTGGCCAACATTTTTAGAAGGATTATTCTTGAGATTGGTTTCATTGAAATAACATGGTCTAGAGTTATCTAATTTACCAAGAAGTCGTATTCGCAAGCCAGCATTTGCATTACTCAATTGGGTTTGACCGTTTGATTAGTGGATCAAATGATAAGAGGACTCAATGTGACAAATGACTGAATGAGAATGAATCGGGTGCATTGAATTTAAGATACAATGGCTCTAAATGTGCCAACAATGCTAAAGTGATGAAAAATACAGAGCAAATTTTGTAATAACTAATGAAGTGAACTTTTTGGTCATCTCCAAAGAAGTGTAGTATTTGAACATAAAAGTCCAACATGGAGTGCTTAACGTGAAGACTTCTTACTTTAAGCTGTTCTCATTATATTTACATATATTTGAACAATTCTTTTTACTAGATTTGAAATCTATGATGAAACTTCTAAGCCAAATGGTTTACTTATCTTTGGATTGCATGTATAGCAAATGGCATAAATTCATTTCTATGCTAGTTGCACAATATATGAGTTCCTAAGCCAAGACACTAAGCCGTAGTGACCTTTGCCATGGCTCATATTGTGTTGTTTAATGTCTTTGCTATCCTAGTTAATTAATAATAATAATACTAGCAATAACAACAGTAGTAATAGTACTAATAACAGTACTCCTTATGTGGTTTAAATTCATACATATTTGGAAAATTCAATACCAACCACATAATAACATTTTTCTTAATATGCATGCCACTTCCTCATATCCCAACTCCCAAAGATAGTGGGACAAGGTAGTAATATGTTTATGAAATATTAATAATAATCATAATGATATTGAACGGATTTTATTGTGTCCCTGAGTTACATTCCAAATGCTGTTGTTAGTTACTCGTATTTCACTAATTAGTAAGCTATTTCTCTATGTGACAAGATCAGATCTTAGCCATTTGTGCACACTTTGTCTACTTTTCTTGCATTCTTGCATATAATTTTCAATCAGCTTTAGTCTTCTTGAGTTGTCTAATAAACAGAAGTGTTTGCGTTTGGACCTCATGTTGTCCATGCAAAGACACATTTTGTCCAATAATAAACCATAATAAGATATGAAATACTAAAGATGACATTGAATGGACATCTAAGCCTAAAGAATCGATTATGTAATGCAGATAAAGAAAAATAGTTGTAAACTTAGCACGGTATTTGGAATTTGCATATTAGTTGCCAAAGTTGAATATTGCATCATAAACAGATAAGAGCATTTCATAACACGGTATTTTACATAAAGAGTATTTGCATATACAGAGTTTCATAGTTGGGTATTGTTGGGTCATTTGTAGGTATCTCTACAGAGGCTTATCCACAGGGGACCGCCCCACCTGTGATCAGTGCCTAAGAATTCATGAAAAGCTGACCGAGAAAGCTGGTCTGGGCTGTATACTAAGGTCTCTTGCTGATACTGTAAATATCGTCTAGCGTTTCTGCTCTATATATTTCAGAGGAAGTAGAGCAACTATTTTGCATTTAGCAACTATTGATATGCATTCAGTATTCCACAGTTTAAGGCGGTCGAGTTTAATGATGATAAAGTATTGTCTTTTTTAGACTTGGTTTAGCACTTTAGCGCATTAGTATTTTCCTTGAATCTCTTCATTAATTCTTTGGAAGAAATACATGTATTAGCAACTTGTACTGGTTATTTATCCTAGTTTACTGTATCCGAGATTCCGTTGCAGCAGGGTGAACATGGTCTTGGAATTGGTTCCATGCCGGTGGGGGGTGGATCGGGCCAGTTCTGGTCCCCGGGCTGCCTGGTCATGTATCGGGTCGGGTTAGCCCGTCCTAGTCCACCCCTACCCCGCATGAGATTTGGGTTCATTTTTTTCCGGCTTGGTTTTTGACCCAAAATCAAATAGATAATCAAAGTAGTTCTATTTGATTTTGTGTGTCTAAACATGAAAACACCGTTCGAAAGCTTCTATTGGTTTTAATTAAATTTTAGACTTTTCATTTTATTTTACAAAAAATGATCTCATATGATTAAAAAAGGAAAAATTGACAAGAATAATCTCACCTTTCACTGATCTCCTCATAATAATCTCATTTTTATGCAAACCCGGAATAATCCTACATTTACACTCCATCTTTTTTCGTTGGACCCTGACCTGTTTGTGACCCTACTATTTCAGGTTTTTTACCCTTTTTTGGAAAACTTATATAAATAATCCCACCTTTCACAAATCTGCTCAAAACAGTCCCATGTTTCATTTTTTCTTTTTTCTCCCTAAATTTGTTTCTTTCTTTACCTTCATCCCTAGATATTTTTTTATTACTTTTACTATCATTTTGTTCCTACGTAATATTTCTTTTTCTTTCCGTATTTTTATTTCATTTTCCTTTTTATGTTTTTCTTCTTAATCTGTCTCTCTTCTTATTAAATATCTAGATTCAGCAACCATATGTATCACCTGATATGGCATCTCCAATTGCAGGGTGAATTGTAGTGATTTGGCATAGGAGAAGACATGATGAATATTTTTGTTTAATATAGATAAAGTGATGTGTAGAGAAAAATAAAAAAGAGGAAGAGAGATAGATATAAAATGTAAAGCTAGGTCTGCGATAAAGTTCCTAATTGAACCTTACATAGGATTCAAGAAGAAAAAGTAAATGAAAAGTGGGTTAAAAGTGATATTAAAAAGGAAAAATTGATACTAATAATACCAACTATTGGCGGTCCGCTCATAATAATCCCAACTATTGATTATTCCAGAATAATCCCAACTTTAGGGGCCTTCCGCCAATAATGATTCCTATGAATAAATTCTTGTAGTTTCTAAAGTGGATGAGATGAGATATAACAAGTAATCCCTATAAATAATCTCAACTTTTAATTTTTAGGCTTAATTTCTATTTAAAATTCACTTTTTATAGAGGTAATATCTGGTCATGGACCATTATTGGCGGACAATCTATATAGTTGGGATTATACAAAAATAATCAATAGTTGGGATTATTTTCAGCGGACCGGCAATAGTTAGGATTATTATTTTCAATTTTTCCTATTAAAAATGAAAATAAATAAAAATTAGGAAATATGTGAGTCACACACATAATTGTGAAATAAAAAATGGGACTCATGCCGAATATTATCAAATCGACACTTTTAATCCTTCCAATATAATTTTGACACAATAATTGGAGGACTACAAATGTAATTACTATAATAGTTGAAGGATCAAAATTGTCACTTTTATGAATGTCGAAGGATTAAATGTGAAAATTTTCAAAGACTGAGTACTAAAAGTGTCTTAACACAATAGTTGAATGACTAGAAGTGGAAAAACTCAAAGTCTAGTACCAAAAGTGTCAAATGACATAATAGTCGGAGGACTAAAAGTGACAAAAACTTGATCATTTATATTGGAATGTCACCTATAATAATCGTATATCACACCAAATATATATTTTTTCTTCAAATCTGGCAAAATCTTTACTTTAAAGGACGGATATAGTTTGCACCCCTGTGCAAGATTTGGTTAACTGTCATCAAATTACACAACTTCTGCAGTTCTGCCCACCCGCCAGTAATTCCTCCTATAGGTCAAACACCAAGACAGCCTCATCTGTTTTAACTTACCACATATCCCTTGGTATATGAAGAAGATGAGCTCAGAGAGAAGGGCACTGGGCATTTATATAGTGGTCAAAATTCATTTCACACCGCATTTTCAATGGGTCCATGAACTGACCTAAAAACTAATCATTGTGCACTTACAAAGGCAACTCCAAATATTTACATTACACACAACACTTCAATATTCCATGAGCAAGGAGGCTAAAGCTACATTTTTCTATCCAAATACATTACTTATTCTATTTCCATCATTTGCAATATACTCATTGTTTTTTTGCTTGAGAATATGATGAAATAAAACAAAATGACTTACTAAACTGTTTACGATTCTATGTTATGAAACATCAGTCAATCCATGCAATTTTCGACGCGATTTCACTATGGGTCATCCAGAAACAGTCTCTCCGTGCTTTAGTACATGGGTAAGACTCCGTACATTCGCCCCTCTTACCCTACCGAAGGTGTGGGAGTCTTTGCGGCATTGGGTAATGATGATTGATGATGAGGACATTTACTCACTCAACATCAAAATTTTTAACATACAATCCTGCATATGATTAGTTGACAGATGTAGCCTAGACTTGTTGATATTCCGAACTCCATTACTAAATCCACTCACATGAATGAGATGTTTGGGATAATACCTCTTTGGAAGCTGTAAAATACTATCAGACAAATACACCCAAATGATTATCTAAACACAACAAACATGACCAAAGTCTTTATAACTTCTCCCTCCATAGAAATCAAACCCAAGCAACTCTTTGATTGAAATCTATACAAGGTGTCAAGACAAAACATACCAAACCCCAATAATCTATAACAAACAAAAAGCAATCAGTTAATAGCAAGAAACAGTATATCTTTCCCCATGATAGCATCCACAAATAGAGAAATGGGAGATGTATGAACGAACACCCTCAACAGATCTTGTTTCAATAAAACCAAAAACAGATAAGTAGATAACTGAGATGGATAGGAAAGAATTGCTTCAACAGGTTTAAAATTTTGAAAGATGAATCTTCATTTAATAGATAAAAAATCTCTATGTACAACGGCAACTTTCCATCAACAAAATCAAAGAAATGATGTTATTTTTCTTTTCTTATGATGAATTTTTTCCCTCTTCTTTATCTTTACATGTAATAAGAGTTTGAGTAAGCCAGCATACGAGATCACCAAAATTTGTCAGGTCTTGTAAACTCCGAAGAACATTCGAATCAAAACCTTTGCTGACAATCTCCTTTTCCTACCCCTGCAAGAACAATGTGATGTCCGGAATAAAAACCAGGCAAAGCATTATACAAAACAGGTGAAAACAATAGACTGGCACAAGATTATACCTTTGGAGGATTTTCAGAGACTTTATATGAATCAGGAGTGATTGAAGCCAACCACAAACCAGGAAAAAGAGTCTGCAGAAACAGAAACAAGAAATATAGATCAGACCATGCAGATAATAATGATAACAGAAGCATGGAAAAAGCAACGAGGGCATATTCATACGTCAAGCTGTTTCTGAACAGATTTAGTTCTCTTCTTGGGCCGCTTTGCCGGTTTCATTCCGGTCAGGGCAAAGATATCCTCTTCTATCTCCTCTTTGGAGAGCGCGATTGAAAACCTCCGCTTCTTCTCTTTCTTCTTCTCAGGGCTGTTCAACTCGGCATCAGGCCTGATTGAAGAAGGAGATTGAGTTGCGACCACTGTCATAGCGGACGGTCCCCCAGTTTTGAATTGGACTCCGTTCAAATTCAGTGACTTGTGTATCGGCTTCCTCGGCCTCAAATTCCAAATCTTTTGCGACCCTTCATCCTGATCTACAGCCAATTTCCCCACCTCTTGACCCTCATCGCCCTTCGTCACGTCCTCAATCTCATCACTCTTGCTTTTCCGGGGCAGTTTCAGCACTAATTTTGATTTTCCTTCTTTCTGTCCAGGGACATACATCTCCGAACCCTTATGCTGCTTCTTCTCCAACTTTCCTGGAGTCCGATCGCCGCCGCGCATCGGTGACCGGCGATCTGGCTCTTGCATCGGCGACTGGCGCATCAGTGTTGAAGCCATAGATTCACCATTAGGAGACTGAAAGTTCTGAAGTAGTGGCGACTGAGACTGTCGTAGGGGAGAAGCAAACCGGCACGGGAATTCCGAGTGTTTGGCGGAGCGGCCGCGGTGGTGGTTGTTCGAGTGGTGATTCTTCTTCCATTTCAAGTGCGGCAAGGCAAAGTTGTGAAGCGGCTGAGACTTAGCGGGTACAGTCGACGTCATCGTCTCCCCTGCGCAAAAGCCGTCTCTGGAAACAAAAAAAGCTTCTCGATCTTTCTCCCCAATCCCCCTGAATCTTCAGCTTTAACGTAAAACTCTCTAATCAACAACCAGATGAGCAAATGAGTCTTTACTACAAATCAATCAATCGCGAAGATGATTTGAAAGAATTACAAAGCGAAATCCGATCACTATGATATTCAAAATCAACAAAACAACATGCCCATATGCATGTCTAAATGCAACAAAAGAAAGAGACGATGGGGGAAAACCTAGAGAGAAGTGAAGAGGAAGGGGATGAATGGAAGACAGGAATGAATTGTATGGGAAAACTGGAATGCAAGAAACTCCACCAGTCTTGCAAATCTCGGAAGAAGTTAAAGCTCTTACTAGTTTTGGATTGCCCATTTTACCCTATTCCTACCTAGACAGGATTTTGTGGGCTTTGGAAAATTACTTCCGTCCAAATGTGGGGTAATTTACTCATGAGAGTACATATTACATATAGGGGGTAATTTACTCATGAGATTACATATGGGATGGTGCGGTTCAAACGGTTCGATTTTCACCTAAAATCAAATACTGAACCAAAGTAAAAAGTTCGGTTCGGTTTTACGTTCAAAAATTTGGAATCATGGTTTGTTCGGTTCGATTTATCTCGGTTTCGGTTTTTTCGGTTTTTACCAAAATATTTTTGTTTGTTAGGAAAATAGTAATTGAAAACAAAAACAAAAAAATAAACTACATCAAACTATTATTAATAGTACTACAATTCAAAAAAATACATAATTGAAAAAAAGAGAACAAAACAAATGCACTTCCAAACAGAGAATCTGAGAATAT